ATTCTACTGTGGAGCAAGTTTCCAAAAAATATATCAAAGAATTGAAATTGTATAAAGTATGTGTCTCGCTCTCATTGCAGCTTATCTACCAATCGGTAATAAAAGATGACTAGAAAGTCCTTATATTTAAAAATTATGAAATACACTTCTGAATAACCCATAAATTAAATTACAATTGCACTTTAAACATAATTTAAATGGAATGATAATAGAAATTGTACATAAAAAAATACTCTGAGAAAAAGTACTGATAAATCCACACATTAGAGAGAAAGCCTAAAAATTCACAAATTTTGCATCATATTACAAACCTGGAATAATAAATGAAATCCAGAGAAAGTGGAAGAATGGAAATATGCAACTAGTGATATCTGGAAGGGTATATATACTTTTTCTTAAATGATTTTCATTGTCATTCTATTACAGTTTCCCAATTTTTCCCCTTTTTCTTCCTCCACCCATCCCAACCCGCACACCCCCACCTTGTTTAGAAGAATATACACTTAATATAATAGCAGCTACTGTTACAGAACAACAGGTCTGAGGAGGAAGGGGCAGTATTTGGCCCACCTAGGGATGCCAGAAACTGCCGCAGAACAGAGGCCCCTCCCAAGGACTGTGTACCAATATCTACTAGGCTCTTCTGTCCGCCGCCAATGGGAAAGACATCTCTCAATGCTAGAGACTTGTGAAAAGGAAATAAAATGTTTATTTAATGCTATTCAGGCCTAATGCCTCCACTAAAATATCAAAGTCCTTTAGGGTATACACCTACACCCACACAGCGCTCCCTTCTCCCACTGTCCCGACTCTGGGTACCCTAAATCAGAAAAAGAGCACACACAGGTCTGTGTTTCAGGCCGCTGGAATCGTCAGCTGTGTCAGGCAGGATCTCTGGTTAATCCAAAGTCATGTGGCACCTTCTCATGGTTCACTGGCAAGAGTTCTTTGTACCCAGTTCCACTCAAAGTCTGTCCTGCTTTCCAGGCCCCGCGGCCAAAGGGGGCACCCCAAAGCCGCGTGGGCCTCTTCTACCAAAGCCGCAGGGGTTCGCACTCCACCAAAAACATGTGGCTTTCTTCTTCACCTGGCTGCAGGGATCTCCATTCTGGCAAAGCTGCGTGGTTTTCCCTTTCACCTGGGAAAGAGGGCGTCCGCACTCTGCCAAAACCATGTGACTCCCTCTTTCACCTCACCAAGAGGGGATCCTCACTCTCCTGAAACCGCGTGGCTCTCTCCTACATGACTGCAGGGGTCCTCACTCTGCCCCAAACCGCGTGGCTCTCCCTTCAATGGCTGCCACGTCTCCATGTCCCAGAGCAAATCTTTTCCAAGCTCTCCCACAGGCCCTCTCCTCACCTGGGCAGTTATCCCCTCATGGTCTGGAGCCCATCTTTTCAAGCTCTCTCGCAGTTTCCCCACTCAGGGGCTCAGCCCCTAGTTACCTCTTGGATAGAAGCCACTCCCTTCTCCCTGGCTCAAAACTTGGCCACAGCTATTTAACATATCTATGAAACCAGTTAAGGGTTATAGATATGCTAAATGACCATTCCAGAGGTTAGTTGCAAAACTGTTGCTATGCAAAACAGCTCTCCATGGCCCTGCTTCATTCCTCCCTTCCCCCTGATGGGGGGGAGGACATCTTAATATTTCCTAAGCACCCTGAACTCTGGGCCCCATCCCAAATCCTTTTCTGGGGCCCCCTCTTGGCTGAGTCCTGTATCACTACTACCTATTTGGGTAGAATTTTCTTTAAGTAAACAGCACCAACAAAAAAAGGCCGTCTCAGGGCTTAAAAAGTACAACGGGAAAATATGGCATAATTTAAAAATAATAATAATACTCTAGTCTGTTGTGGTGACAACACCAGAGGCCTTTCTTTGCTCGCCCAGCCTTTTCCAATTTTCACTTCTTCATATGCAAATACAGCCCAGCAAAGAGGAAATGAAGGTCTAGACCAGAAGTCATGTAGATGAACAGAGAAGCCCTACAGCTCAGGAGAGGGAGTTTGCTCCAGGGCTGCCTCACTTCAGGGCCTCCTCACAGCCCTGATGCTACATAACTAAGAAGCAGCAGTACTGAGTTGATACACAGTGTGCTGCTTCATAATTCACCTGTGACAATACTAAGCTTCTGAAGAACCATTCTGTACTCACGGCAGCCGTTCTATATTAAAATTGAGATATTTGCACTAAAGTTTCCTTCTTCACCGCACCCCAACCTTGGAATACCTCTTCACATTGACTGGGAGCCAACAACTATACGTTTATAGACATGTACAGGGACCCCACACACAAACTCAGAGACCCTAAAGCCACATCCAAAGAGACCCCAGATATGAGACCCACAGCCAAATAGATTCAAACCAAGGCCACAGACCTCACAGAGAGGACTCAGATCCATAACCAAGACTCCACAGCCAGACTTCAGAGTGGAAGCTGGACAATGAACTCTAGTTGCCAGATGCCAGACACAGAAGCTGAACCACACTAGTCAGGGTTTGTAATATTCTTAATTGTGTTTCTGTAAATGACTTGAATCCAGTACTTAAATATAAAATTTCATTGTTTTTATAATACATGGTTTGCATCTCTCAAACAAACAGTAACTGTGTGACAGTATATTTTGCACTGTGGAAATGTTCCTGCTGGAATAGACTTTTGGGTGCAAATTGGACACTTTGGGTGGTCAAGGTGCTATCCAGATAAAGAAGGCAGCACGGGCCGCTGGATGTAATGAGGGTGTGCAGAATTTTTGCTGAGTCATTTTTAAATGCACACGTATATGACCAACTACTTCTCATCCATTCTTTTACCTACAGAAAATAACCATACATAGGTTTAAGTAAAGGAGAAAACAAATGGCACAATACTCCAAATGATATGCAGGAAAAGCAAGTTTTCCCTTCCATGTTGCCCAGGCCCTGATCCTGGTGACACAGTCCCTGTGTCTCCTCCCAGCACGTCCTCTTCCTGGGTTGTTTTTTTTTTTTTATCACAGTTTGTTTTGCAGGATACTTTTCTCACATAACAACATTACTTAGAAACTATTCTCTGTTAAAATCCATTAGAACCACCTTATGAGGTTTTATTTCTTTAATGAAATACCATGTATCCTCACCCATTTTCAACATTCTATAATATTTTACAGTGTGATCAAACCATAATTTAACAAATTCTCTTCTACTGAAAACTTTAAAATTATATGTTATAAGTGTTGGATACAATATTTTAAACATTTCACTTCATACACAGGGAAGCATAACTGGGGGGATTTTTATGGTTTTTTAAAAATTTCATTTATTAATTTAAAAGAGAGAGAAAGAGTTGTTCCACTTATACACTCATTCATTGGTTTCTTCTTCTACGTGCCCTGACTGAAGAATGAACTGACACCCCTGGAATATAGGCAGGACACTCTAACCAAATGAGCTACCAGGACAGGGCTACTAGGGGAAATTTTTCAAAACTGGAATTTCTGGGTCAGAGGGTATGAGGATATTATTTCTGAATAGCTATTCTTGAAATGATCCGGAGAGTTTGCACCAAAAGACCCTTCCCCAAGTCTTTCACAGGAAGGACATTGAACCTGCTTGCTCACCAGCCTCAGAGATCTCAGGAGTCCTGTGGATCCCCATGAGCCACCAAGTTATGTTCACCTTAAAAATATAGCAGGCAGTTATTTTACCAGCAGAGAAGGGGTTATTCAGAAATAGTAACAAAAAATGAAATTTAGGACAAGCAAGCTTTAGGAAAAGACAGGTAAGCTCCACAAGTAAAGGAGAGGAACATTATTTTACAGGGAAAAAAAGGAAGTTGGGAGGGGTCATTTCAAATGAAAGTGCAGTGCAGAAAATCCTCAGTTCAGGGTGACCACGGCTTCTAGCTGCCTGAGTTGCTGGGGAGTCACTTTCTCCTGGAAGCACACAGTACATCTTCATGTTGGGGCCTGTGACAGACAATTTTTCCTGTAATTGACCCTGGGTGGTGCTATGTGGAGCACCCCCACTGGCCCCCAACTCCTCTTTAGTGAGGTTTCCCTTTACGCAGTTTCACAGTAACAATTATAGTTAATTGGCACAGTTCCAGTCCATGGAAACCAAGTTATATTTACGTGCTCAAAACGAGGTAGGGACCAGAAACACTCTTCCCACTTTCTCCCGCGAAAGCCAGTAGCAGCTAAACAAACCCTGCTCTGTGGACCCCTGCCCCCAAATTTAACATGTTATTTTTATGCAAAATACTTGAATGTTTTTCCATTACTTCTACATTTATTCAGTGTTGTTTGGTTTTATCTTGTCTCCCTATTTATGAAACGTTTTCACACCTGAGTTACTTAAACATACCTATTACTCATAAGGTCACTTACTTGACGCGTGAAATTCTCAGTGTGTTTTCCAGTAAGCTTATTACGTCGTTTGTCGTGCTTAAATATTTGAGCCCTCTGGGACTTATATTGTGTGTATGACTTGTGTGGTCAGAATTTGCTGACTTAAGTTTCCACGGAGTGCAGTGTAGTCTTGACCACATCCTCACTGGCTATGCACCTTTTGCTGAAAGCGGCTTTGGTAAGAGAGGGCACGGATGGGCCTAGAGGAAAGTTGGGGATCCCAACTACAGCCTGGTGTAGCAAAGATTCTTTGTCAGACGGCAGGAGGGCCACGTCCACCCTAAAAACCGGCCCGGGCCAGGAGCTCCCAACCCCTGCGAAGCGGGTCCCTCACCAGCCTCTGGAAAACTAGCCACGGAAAACGCCACGCCCCCCTGTAGGCTGTGGGACAGACGCTGCAGAGCGGCCAATTCCCGCGGGGTGGGGCGGGTCTTCCGCCGGCCTGTCGGAAACCCATGGGCCCCGCCTCCCGCCCCACCCTCTCAGCTCCTTCTGACCGCTCATTGGTGGGCAGGGTCCAGGGATCGCAGCACTGATTGGCGGGTTGCTGCCACAGGCTGTCCTGGTATGAATATCGCCCCACGCGCCCTCCCTCTTTCCGAGGGCGGGAAGCCCAGGAGCTCGGAGAGGACGCTGGTCCGAGGTGGGCAGCGCAGCAGGGGCCCCCGGAGACTGACCGGTAAGCGGGGAGCCCTGCCACGTGGCGCCCTTAGCCCGAGACCTTCAAAGTCCAGCCTAGGAGACCCCAGATGCCCTCATCCTGAGGGGCCCCAAACCCCTTCAGCATCGAGGGGCCCGCGTCCGCCAACCCGGAGGACCCAGATCTCCGGACCCCCAACGCCTAGAGCCCCAAACAGCCCGAAAACCCCAGTTCCCCTCGGCTCGGGGCCCCCAACCTGCAGCTCGCCCGGAAAGACCGAATCTCCCCAAACTCAGAGACGCTAAACGCCGTCGTCCTGGAAACCGACTCAGTGGTGGGGACCCTGAAGCCCCTCGATGAGACGCCCCAAATCTCCTCAGCCGCAGGGTCTGACCCTCCCCCCGGCCTCAGTGTCCTCAGACGGGAAGACGCAGGATCGGGTCTCAGGGACCCCGAGCTGTGAGGGGCCCTCCCCGGGGAAAAGCGCGTTTCCTGCGCCGCCTCAGCCCGCCCGGACGGTGGCACCTCAGACGCCCGGCGGAGGCCTGCGGAGCGCGCGCTGAGGGGCGCGGAGGGAAGGGCGGGACCAGGGCGCCCCCCCCCCCCGCGCGGTCCCAGGCCCGCGTCCCCGCCCGGCGCCCCGCCCTGCCGGCCGGAGAAAGGCGTTCGGCCCTCTCAGCGCCTTCTCCTTCCACAGGCGCCTGGGACGCCATGAACCCCGACGGGGGCCCGCAGCACAGCCCCGGGGGAGAAGCGGGGCGGACGCCGCAGGTGAGCGGAGGGGACGGGGCTCCGCAGACGCGCGGCCCTCGGGCGACCCTGGCTGTGCGGGCGCAGAGCGCGACGGGACCCACAGTCGCAGGGCCGGGCGGGGGAGACCCTCCAGCGCGTCCTCACTGCATCACCGGGTTACTGGCGTTTCCACTCCGCTCCAGGCCGAAGAAGCTTTGGAAGCCGCTTCCCTCCGCTTCTCCCGGGAGGAGTGGGCAGCGACGGGGGACCGGGAGGAAGGCCGGTGCCGGAGCGTGCAGCGGAGCCTGGACGCGCCCCCCTGTAGGTAGCGCAGGCGCTGGGCCCGGGGCCTGGTGACCCGCCGGGCTGCCGGGCCGCTCCACCCGTGCGCACCGATCCGGGGGAATGTGCTCCTTCGGTCACAGCATCTCGGCGGGGCCGGCGCTGGTGGTGCGGCGCTCACAGCAACTCGTTTCACTCTCCATCCCAGCCGAGCCGGTCCCACGGGCCTCTTCCTCCTCCAAGTTCTTGCTTTCAGGACAAAGGTTTTGTCTCTTTCCAGGTCTCAGGGCCCCTCGACCAGCTCTCCTGTGTCACCACCGCGGGCTCCAGGAGGAAGACCCCGAGGACTCTGATGAAGAATGGACTCCAAGGCAGCGAGGTGAGTGGCAGGATCTGTCCTCCTGACTCGGACCTGGTTTAGGTCAGGCTGCATCTCAGGACATAACCAAGGAACATGCTTTGCTTGTCCAGTGAACACGCAGGATGCAGAACAGTGTATCTTACAGTGAGTGGATATTCCCATAAACTATCAAGTGTGCAACATCATTGTATATATTTATGGATACATTAATAAGCAGTAAATGTGTAAGAACATACAATTGAACAAGAAATAACTAAATCAGAATAGGTATGGCACCCGATGGCCTGCATGGAGACAGATGGGAACAGTATTAACCATGGTGATGATGGGAGCTGGGGGGAGGGCCAGGGTGGGGAGTGGCTGATCACTGTATCATTTCCTGGTGTCGGCCATGGTGTCATTCTGTCTGGTATCATGAGTGTTTGGTTAGAAGGGTCGGTCCACTTTCATGGGTCTGAGGTTGAAACACAGCTGAGGTCAAGATGTGATCTTTAACTTGACTGGAATTCTGTTTCTGTGGTCATCAGACTGTGGATGCCAACCAGAGTCTAATGACAAGGAAGGGCGTGGATGGCCAGTATGTGCACAGGGGGGAGGATACCAGAGAACGGAGGAGTGGGGTTGGTAGGGCCGTTAGCCTGGACAAGGCCAGTCTGAATGAAGACAACAGAACGGAGAAAGAGTTATGTTGAAGACTTGGAGTTTCTGTGCAGTTACTTTTATTATGTTTTTTTTTTTCAGGAGAGGCCAATTTATTTTTTAATAAATGTAATAATTGCTTTATGAACATAGGAGGAAGTGTAGATGACACTTTGTATTTTTTTTTAAACATTCTAGTGAAATTAGTGGATGGTCCCAGTAGAAGCATAGGCCTTAATGATACCTCAGAACATTTTCCAACTATCCTCGGATTGTTCTTGGACTACTCTCATTCACAATTCTGTGTCCTTAATAAGACTCTCCAGATTTTGGAAATATTTACCAACCAAAACGCTGATTTCTCATCATCTTTCAGTGAAACCTTCTTGGGTGGCCTTCAGAAGGGAACCGAGTAAACACCAGAAAGTGAGTATTTTGCAAATCCTGTTGACAAGAACATTTTCCTCAAGGATAGAAATGCAGGTAAGAGTAGGAAAATGCAGAGAGTATCCTAGGAACTGCTGCCTTCCTTTCCTGGTTTCTTCAACACATTGTCTGACATCTTTTTTTTAAAGATTTTATTTATCAATTTTTTAGACAGAGGGGAATGGAGGGAGAAAGAAAGGAAGAGACACATGAATAGGTTGCCTCTCATACAACCCAGGCATATGCCCTGACCAAGAACTGGTGACCTTTTAGTCTGCAGGCCAGCGCTCAATCCACTGAGCCACATCAGCCAGGGCTCATCATCATCTTAACAGGTAGTAACTACAACAACAATAGTAACTACAAGTTGTTTCATTCTCACAGTGTTTCAGACTTTAAGAATTCTATGTGAATAAACTCAGTTACACATTACAACCACCTAGTGAGGAAGGTACTGTAACTGTCACCATTTACAATGAGGAAAGTGAGCTTTCAGAGATAGAGAAATATTTGACTATATGTCTAAGATCACAGTATCAGTGTTTGTGCAGTCTAATCCATAGTCTCTTATCTAAACCACTTCCAAACTCATTAAAACTTCCATAGTTTTTCCCTGGCAAGCATGACTTGGTTGGGTGTCATCCTGCAAAGTGAAAGATGGCCCATTTGATTCCTGGTCAGGGCACATGCCTGGCTTGTAGGCCAGGTTCCCAGTGGGGATATCTGTGAGAAGTGACTGGTCAGTGATTCTCTCTCACATTGATGTTTCTCTCCCTTTTTCTCCCTCCCTTCCCCTCTCTCAAAAAAATAAAATCTTTAAATTAAAAAAGGCTTCACAGGTTTCTAAAGTTTACATTGTCTTATACATGTCATTACATCATGCAACAGACTAACAATTTCAACTAAAGTTATTCACTGCTATGCTGAAATAAGAGACGCACTAAGACTCTCTGAATAAGGAAAGCGTATGATGTATAGGCAGTTGGTACAGCAGATGGCCCCAGGTGAAGGAGAATGTAAAATCCCCATGATCAGAGCCTTCCACTCTAATCAAAGAAAGCATCTCTCACCCCAGAGGAGCCTCGGGTTTTATGATTGAGAAACAACAAATAATAAAATGACTTAAGGACTTCATATAGGTTACACACCGTTGTTCAACAAGAACTCATCCATCGGGAACTAATTTCAAATGCCCTTTCTTATAGGGCGAAGTAACAGCTTCTTTGAGTTGTAATGAGGTCACTCTCATCCTGTTTAGCATCATTTGTTCAGTTTGCCTAACTCTGCATTGTCACCTCTTTGAGACCCTGGTTCATACCTGAGACTTCTCAAAGGTCACAGGACCAGATCAGGGCTCCTGAGGGCCCCCGAGTGTTTGCTGAATGAATGATTTCACAATTACAAATTAAACTAGATGATGAACAATGAACACTGAAGGTAATTTCTATGGAATTGAAATATGAAGAGAGCTGAGGGGTAAATTGACAGCAGCACATTCATGCTGTATTATGTAATTCACAGAACACTTTCTTGAACATTATTTAATTATGTAGTCACTATAATATTAAAAATTGGCATGTTATAGATCAGGACACTGAGGACAACTAGCTATTGATACAGCCTGATTCAAACAATTGGTGGAAACCAGGTCATCTAAGTACAAATATTCTTTCCAAGGTATTGCAAACATTTATCATTTTAGCTATTGTCTAGACATGTTTCTGCCAACTATTTATTCTCTTTCCAATATCCTTCACTGTCAATTTTATAGAGACAGTTGAAAGAAAAGCCATAAGCCATGGGTTCTAATCTTAGATTCATTACCCACATTGGCCCTATACCCTCTAATATTCATACTCCTGAGGTATTTCCAAGGGTTCAAGTATTAAAGACATGCATGTAAAATATATGATAGGCCATAAAACATTAAATACGTTTTATCTTTTAATATATGATCCTTATATTGAAGGCAACATCCGGGGTGCCATTAAACAATGAATATAGTTTGAAGGAATTGTCAGGAACAGCCAATTTGATGACTACAAGTGACTCAGAGCATGCCCAGAAACCAGTGTCCTCTCCTGGAGAAACACGTGCCTTTGGAAAGCACACTGGACAAAAGTTGGGTAAGAAAATAATTTGGAAACTTTAGTTCCTCTAAGTCCCTCAGAGGGGCTGATAAGTATGACCTACGTATGTGGGACAGACAGACTTTGGTAGGCCTGGGTTTAAGCTGGGCTAAGTTGAGACTGAAGGTATCACTGGACCTTTGGGCAAATCCTATAAATTCTCTGAGACCCTGCAGGCTAATGTGTAAAGTGAAGATAAGGAATCATCACTCATACATTTTTTGGAAACATTACATTGAGTTTAAAATGGGTGACACATGCAAGCTGTCCAAAAAATCCATCTGTGATAACAGCAACCACACTGTACTGGTGTTGTGTGCCTAGGCCTTTACTCAATGCCTAACACATAATGTGCACTCAGATATTTTATGAATGATTAAAGGTTGGCAAGTTAAACCTGGTAATGGGAAGATCTAGAAACTAGAATTGAATCACTCATCTGTAGTTACCATGGCGTCTTAGTTTTCCGAACCAATAGTTAACAGTAAAATACCAGAGTATGCCAAAGGACAGGTAATAAATTGATGGGAGGAGATTGTGTGTTATCTGACAAAATGGGAACTAACACTATAGATCCCACCAACCTGGCTCACCTGCTCTTCTCCAACTCAGAACTTGGGAGAAAGGAGATGGATGTAAAGATGTACAGCCTACAAGAAAGAAAGGACTGTGTGTACCAAGAGGTCACTGAGCCCCAGGATGATGACTACCTTTGTAAGTGACCCTCACTAAGAAGCAAGTTATGATACAATAATTTCATCTAGTCCTTTGGTCCCCAAATCATTCCCTTCCTCTAGGGACCTGGAATACAGGATTGAGTCTCACTGATGTCAGTGCTGGACTGCCTCTGAAGCTATTTGTGTCCAGGAACATGTGCTAAACGTTCCCCAACCCCTGTCATTTTTCTCTCCAGATTGTAAGAAGTGTCAGAACTTCTTCATCAACAGCTGTGCTGTGCATGGACCCCCTACGTTTGTAAAGGACAGTGCAGTGGACAAGGGGCATCCCCACCGTTCAGCCCTCACCCTGCCCCCTGGGTTGAGAATCGGGCCATCCTGCATCCCTGAGGCTGGGCTTGGAGTGTGGAATGAGGCAGCTGATTTGCCAGTGGGTCTGCACTTTGGCCCTTACGAAGGACACATCACAGAAGATGAAGAGGCAGCCAAGAGCAGACACTCCTGGCTGGTGAGAACTATTTACCTCCTCCACTGTCCTCTGGCTTCCCACATTCCTTCTGAGGCTTGGAGGGACCTCACCTCTTATGTGCTAGACATGGAGGAGACTTGGTTAGATCTGTGTACTGACTGGACTTCACATGAACACAGAGCCCCTGTTGAAGGATCAGAAGGTAAGTGGGAGCAAAGTGATGCAGACACAAAGGAGGGGCTTCTTCCTTGTGAGGGTCCTGCTCTGATTGGACAGGTACACTCAGCTGTGTAGGTGATGAGTAAGAAAAATATCATGTGATCACAGCTGGCAGTTGAATCCCCATTCATGTGGAAAGAGGTCTGATGACAGTAGAGTAAAATAATTCTCCTGACTATTACCTCCCCACAAAAAAGAATAACAGATCTTTATCTTCTTTTCTGAAACACAGATCGCCAAAGGGAGAAACTGCTATGAGTATGTGGATGGAAAGGACAGGTCCTGGGCCAACTGGATGAGGTGAGGCCACCAGGTCTCTGGGTGCCAGAGGGGACTCTCATCCCCCACAAGCCCATATACCTTTCCCTCTCATCATGCCTCCCTCAGTGGTCTCCCTTAATCCTTTTTTCCCTCTTTTTCTCCATACAGTGTAGTTTCATTTAGGTGATTTTTAGGAGAAAAGTATAGCAGGTGTCCTCGAAATATAAAATTCTCTGCTAGACACAATGTGGACACTGGAAAGGGCCTTGAAGAGCCTAAATTTACAGGGACACTTGATTACTTTATCAAATGAACATTAATTAAGCACTTACTATATTCTACTTATGGTGAAGGAATATATTCCTTCAGATCACACAACCCATGTCCTTATGGAGGACCTCTCACAGACAGACATAAAACCAACTGCTTTTAGAAACTATAATTCCCAAGAAGTGCACAGTGTCAAGATAGCACAAACCGAGGGTTGCCTAAACCTGTTAGGGCAGCAAACCATCCCAGCCTCACTTCTAACGAGAGCTGGCCTCTGAGGCCTGCAAAGGAATGGTCATGGGCCCTGTTTCTGAGAGGGGTTGTCTTTTATCAGGGATCACAGAATGTAAATCAGCTACTATTGTTCTGTTTTATTTTACTGAGACAAAAAGACCTCCAATTTTCTGTGGTAACCTTGGACAGGCAAGTGAATGGTACCCTGAATAAAGTGTAGGGGGGTTGGAGAAAGGCCCCTCAAGAGAAAACAGACATGGGCTGAATACTGGATAATAAGTGAGGTAATTCAGAAGCAGAGCCCTAGATCAAGCAACATGTTTTATGTTGTGAGACAAGTTGATTTGGAGTGTGGAGAAGCCAGAGATCACTGGATATTATTGCCAATCAGGTTGGAGGTTAAGTCTAGAACTGGGTTTTAGAAAATGGTACTAGGCGGGATAAACACTGCAAGCAGGACTTGGAGGTAGGGATTCACACGACACGCTGACAGACGCTCAGACACTGCACAGAAGGTTCCCCGGGAGCACTGGGGGCCGTGGGCAACACCAAAGCCTGAAGGCCTTCAGATTCATTGAAGAGCTGGACGTGGATGTAACAGGTAGTGGGAACTTATCACGTGCTTTTCTTTCCCTTCATCTGCCTCAATCCCAGGTTTGTGAACTGTGCCCGGGATGATGAAGAGCAGAACCTGGTGGCCTTTCAGTACCACGGGCAGATTTTCTACCGAACCTGCCGGGTCATCAGGCCGGGCTGTGAGCTGCTGGTCTGGTGCGGGGACGAGTATGGCCAGGAGCTGGGCAGCAGGTGGGGCAGCAAGTGGAAGAGAGAGCTCATGGCCAGGAGAGGTGGGTACTGCTATTCTTCAAAACAGAAAGAAAAGAGAATTCTCCATAGAGATATTCATGACCCAACTCTTAAGTGGAGTAAAATGCACTCAAAAGTCAGTAAAGTTTCAAATGACATGCTTCAGAAATTCACAATTCATTCATATGCCTTTCACTCTTAGGCAACATTTTTATATTTATTGTTAAAAATTCATGAACAAAACACACAACCACATATAGTGCTGAAAGACTGAAGGGCAAAACAAAAATTTTCAAGCACAAACCAGTTCTCTCACCAAGGCAGTTTTTCTGACACTTTTATAGCTCTTCTTAATTTTCCTCCATACTTCTAAATAAAAGATTTTTGTTTGTAGGCATTCATTATTTTTTAAAGATTTTGTCCTGGCTCGTGTGGTTCAGAGGATGGAGCACCACCCTGTGAACTAAAGGGTCACCAGTTTGATTCCCAGTTGGGGCACATGCCTGGGTTTTTGGCCAGGTCCCCAGTAGGGGACACATGAGGCAACCACACATTTATATTTCTCTCCTTCCCTCCCTTCCTTTTGTTCTGAAAATAAATAAATAAATCAGATATATTTTGTAAAGATTTTATTTATTTTTACAGAGAGTGAAAAGGAGGGAGAAAAAAATATGCGAGAGATTGACCGGTTGTCTATGCCACACCCCCAACTGGCTCCTAAACCTGGCAGGGTGTGCCCTGACTGCAAATTGAACTTGTAACCTTTCCATTCTGGGACAACAGTTAACACACCGAGCCACACCATTCAGGCAGGGCGCATTTGTTCATCATTTCAGTGAATTACAAGTGAGATCCTACTCTGGCGCACAGCGTCCTGGGACCTGAAAATACAGGTTAATGTGAGCATCAGAATCATTGCTCTTGAGGAGCTGACAGGTGAAGGAAGGAAACCCAGGCACACGTGCTTGCCATGTACATAACACTACACAGCAGTTAATGCTTTGGAGAAAACTAATGCAGGACAAGTGCCTAGGGATCGGTATGAGGGAGATGCACTGTGGCAGGTGGTCCTGAAAGGGTCCTCTCAAGAGATAACGTTTACAAAAATACCTGGGGGCAAAGGATCCCAGGCAGAGGGAACCACTACTGCGGGGAATAAAAGAGGTGCAGCGTTGAACTCACTGAGCGTCACTCAGGTCTCGTCTCAGCACAGAGGGTAAGAATGGAGATTAGACAGATGTTTAGCAGCCAGGAGATGCAGTGGCGATGATCCGAGTTGAGGCGGGATTTCCTATGTGAAAGTGCAGTTGTCAGCTGTAGAGTGGTGTGTTCTGTGTTCTGATTATGCTCTGTTAAACTTTAGAAAATAAACTCCAGTGGGGAATCCCCTCAGAGATTACATCATCTCCAAGTGAGACAGCCTGGTGGATTGGCCAGAGGAACAGGAGTCAGGCGTGTAAAAGATGTGTTTGAAATAGGTTTTCTTAGTGTATTTGAAATAGTCTAACACTAAATGAAATAAAGCATAAATATTTGGTGTGAAGCTTGAGGAAGGACATTTTATTTCACTATTTTGGGAAACAGAGAAGCAATTCCTAGTTGGAGCCTGTGGTTTTCCTGTGTAACATGACTTAGCAAATACCTACAGATGGGAAAGGTCACTGCAGTTCCATCCACACAGGGAGTGAAATGGCTTCTCGTGCTCCTCAAAAGTTCCCTAGTCTGGGCAATATTAGGAAAGACCCTTGATAATGGGCTTTCTGGATTTCTGAAGAAGATGCACTGCATAAAACTAAACAGGAAAATAGACGGCAAGTGGACACTGTGGGAGACAGAGGTTGTGTTATCAACACAGTAAGGACTCACGGGACAGGTCTTACCAGGAGACAAGTTGTACGGCCCAGGCATTCTCATCAACATCTGCCCTGACCAAACCTTTCTCTTTCAGCAGAACCAAAGCCAGAGGTGCACCCATGTCCCTCCTGCTCTCTGGCCTTCTCCAGTCAGAAATTCCTCAGCCAACATGTGAAACTCAGTCATCCCTCTCAGATTCTCCTGGAAACATCTGCAAGAAAATACCTCCAAGCAGAGGAACCCTGCCCAGAGGATCAGAATCAGCAACAGCAACGTACTAATACACACAGCTGGAATGATACAGCTGAAGGTCAACAGGTCAAAGAAGGGTCCAAACATTTGCTAAAAAGGATCAGTCAGAGGAGACTCTCAAGACCCTTTCAGCCTTCCAAAGAACAAATGAGGAGCTCTAGTGAGCACGAGAGAATGATGGAGGAAGAGCCCTGTAGGGGGCAGAAAGATAGTCCAGAGGACACAGGCAAGTTATTCGTGAAAGTAGGAATGTCAAGGATTGTAACGATGAAGTATCAAAGGTGTTGCCAAGGCTTCAGTGATGGGTCACATCTCATCAAACACCAGAGGACACACTCGGAGGAGAAGCCTTATGTTTGCAGGGAATGTGGGAGAGGGTTTACATGGAAGTCAGATCTAAATAGACACCAGAGGACACACTCAGGGGAGAAGCCTTATGTCTGCAAGGAGTGTGGGAGAGGGTTTACATTCAAGTCATATCTCAACTCACACCACAGGATACACTCAGGGGAGAAGCCCTATGTCTGCAAGGAGTGTGGGAGAGGGTTTACATTCAAGTCATATCTCAACGCACACCACAGGATACACTCAGGGGAGAAGCCCTATGTCTGCAAGGAGTGTGGGAGAGGGTTTACATGCAAGTCAGATCTAATCAGACACCAGAGGATACACTCAGGGGAGAAGCCCTATATATGCAGGGAATGTGGGCAAGGCTTTACACGGAGGTCAAGTCTCAACACGCACCAGATGAAACACACAGGGAAGCCCTATATCTGCAGCAAGTGTAGGAGAGGCTTTACATGCAAGTCACATCTCATTGCACACCATAGGACACACTCCGGGAAGAAGCCCTATGTCTGTAGGGAGTGTGGGAGAGGCTTTACATGCAAGTCAGGTCTAAACAGACACCAGAGGATACACTCAGGGGAGAAGCCTTATGTCTGCAAGGAGTGTGGGAGAGGCTTTACATGCAAGCCATATCTCAACGCACACCACAGGATACACTCAGGGGAGAAGCCCTATGTTTGCAGGGAGTGTGGGAGAGGTTTTACATGGAAGTCGTATCTTACCACACACCAGAGGATACACTCAGGGGAGAAGCCCTATGTCTGCAAGGAGTGTGGGAGAGGGTTTACATTCAAGCGTAGTCTAATCACACACCAGATGATACACTCAGGGGAGAAGCCTTATGTCTGCAAGGAGTGTGGGAGAGGCTTTACATGCAAGCCATATCTCAACGCACACCACAGGATACACTCAGGGGAGAATCCCTATGTCTGCAGGGAGTGTGGGAGAGGGTTTACATGCAAGTCAGATCTAATCAGACACCAGAGGATACACTCAGGGGAGAAGCCCTTTGTTTGTGTGGAATGTGGGCGACACTTTAGACGGCGGTCACATCTTATCACACACCAGAGGACACACTCGGGAGAAGTCCTTTGTTTGCAGATGAAGTGAATGAATCATTACTATTAAATCATATGTCAATAGCCCTAAGAAGTCTACAGAACCTTACCCTCCCCAAGATTGTAGTTAGTAGAGAAGTAACTGAACAGTTTCATGACAAGATGAGATGGACAGTTCCATAGTGATATGGGGATGTCACCACCAAACTTGTTCATGTTTTTTTTTTTTAACCTATTCTAAAACATTTTGTCTCCATACACATCCCTCATTTTCCCCATCACTGAAAGCAGAGGGCTCCTGAAAAGCCACAAAGAACTCATTCTCTCAGCCACAGAAATTCAACTGCTAATGTGTAATCAGTCAGTCTACTTTGGTTACTGCCCAGAGAGAAGGATTTGAGACAGACACCCGGGAAGGGTATTCCTCGCACTCCTGGAAAGGGGGCTTTTTCTCCTAATAGGCTCCCTACCCCTCCTTCCTTGGCTTCTCTTGGCTCTTCTGCTTTCCTAACACCTCTGGAGCCTCAGGTGAATGGCAGAGAGGGATATATACTTGTGCATGGATGTGAGCCTGACAAGTCTGGACACCTGGTCTTCCTCACTCCTTGCTGCCCTTTCAGGGTCAGGATTTCCTGGTGCAGAGCGCACGGATTCCACATCAGTCCATAGTGGGTGTGAGTCTCAGCTCTGTTTTCTCCATCTGTGATCTAAGGCAAGATTCTCAACTCTCTGCCTGCTTCCTAATCTGTGCAGTGGAAATGGGAACTCCAGCCTTTACGTTTCACATCCAAAGTTTAGTCGGCACAGACAGAATCTGGCAAGAGGATCGCTGTGATCGCAACTCCTGCTGAACAATCTTTAGTGCCCATGTCTTCTAGGTCTTTAGTGCTGGACAAAGGAGGATAAGGACAGGGTAGGGGTCTGTAGCCAAATTCAGAATTTAAGCAGACAGCACTGCTTTCTCCACATAGACTCAGCTACCCTGAAAAGGAAGCATGAGGTTGGGGATGTGCCTCCCTCCTGATCACCACCCTCTCACTGAGCCTGGGCATCCTCAGAGCCTCCTCAGCACAGGCAGGTGGTGCTGAGAGTGACCTGTGAAACAAGACCTTCACCCACCCCTTGCTGAGAACTGAAACAGCACCTGCCTGCATTGGGATGTTAGGTGGGGTAGATGGTGAGCCAAGGCAGGGAGGGTGAGGAAGATATGTGTCACCCACTAACTCAGCAGTCCTGAGCCTGGTCCAGTTCTATTGCCAGAAGTTCTGGAATTCCAGGTATCGTTTCCAATATCTGGGGAAGAAAGGCTTTCAAACTGCATTTATCCCAAGGCCTAGAAGATGGGAGGGGGTCTACAGCACTCAAGGAAAGAACCCATAAAACAAATTTGGTAATTGCTTGCCTCTGTCCACTATGTTTTATGAGAGAGTCCCTAGTGCTTACAGAAAGAGCCCATAGGTAACTGGGTAACTGCCTCAAACTGTCTCCTGTCATGGGTGTATTTTACAAGATGACCAAGTGGGGTCTGAAGCAAGATAAGCATTCACTCTAACGACCCCCCCACATACCTACGTTTGAGTAGTCCATCCCCTTGGAATCTGGCACCACTTTTACCCACCAATCAATATGTAAACTTTCTAATCCCACCAATTATATAACTCCTCAGAACAAAGGGCTTGATGCTCTTGCCACCCACACTCTTGCCTTTCACCCCCACCTCAGCAACACCTGTCCCATTCCATGAGAACGTGTCACTGATAAACCCTGCTGCTTGCACACTAATACACTTGCTGATCTGTAATCATTTACCACATTGGCAAGAAGAACTGAGTGTCTCCTATGACAGGTGCACCCAATCTGCATGTGGCACTCACGAAGGTCGCAACACAGCAGCTTCTGTAATGCACTGTCCTTATACCTGGGTCCCACAGGGCTTCATACATCACTGACACCATCTCAAAATTATTACTTATCGTATCTTTGAACTGGTTTGTGAAGTCTGACGGGATAATAGACATGCACAATGTTGGTCATTCCTGGCCACCCATTCCCAGATAATGTCCACGATGGCCCAGGAGCACAAAATTCCCGTGCACCCAATGGGTGGGAGTCCAGCAACACTCAAGGTGAGAACAGGGTAAACATCTACATCTGCATAAATGTAAGGAAGGGTGCTAACAGCTCCCAGAGGCCACACTTTTCTTAGAACCAGAGCTGAGTTCAATACACAGATGTCAAACATTTAGTGAGGACCCCATCATACCCTCTCCTGCATGAGGGGGACCTAAGCATGACCCACCCCATTCCTGCTGAAGTGGGTTCACCAAAGGGGGAAACCCACCCCCATGACCTGGGAAGATGATCTCCATGCTGCAGGTCTAAAGGTCACCGGCTCGATTATCGATCCGGGCATGAGCCTGGGTTGAGGGTTCAGTCCCCAGTTGGGGGCGTGTGAGATGCAACTAATAGATGTTTTGTTTTGTTTTTAATTTTTTAATTTTTAATTTATTTTTTATTGATTATGCCCTTACAGTTGTTCTGTCCCCCCCTTTTTAAAATTTTTTATTTTTACTTAATTTTTTTATTAATAATAGATTTTTTTTCCTCTCTCTTTCCCATTCCCTCTCTAAAGTAAATAAAATCTTTTTTTCAAAAACACACTTGAACAACAGGAAAGTAAGCATGTTTTTGGAGAGGAAAATATATAATCATCTCAATTTCCCACAGTTACCTAGAAATGTAATATGATGTAGATTAAAGTATCAGCAAAAAAAAAAAATGTTTTATTCCTCACCTGAGGACATACTTATTGGTTTCAGAGAGAGGGGAAGGGAGGGAGAGAAACATCGATGTGAAAGAGAAACATCAAAGGGTAGTCTCCCCACTGGGGACCAAACCCACAACCTAGGCCTGTGCCCTGACTAGAGCTTGAACTACAACTTTTTGGTTTATGGAATTGTTATGGGAGAAACTCAGTTCTCCTTGCTGACACAGTAAAGAATTACAGATCAGCCAGTCTATTCATGAGCAAGCAGGGTTTACTAGTGATATGTTTTCATGGAAGAGAACAGGTCTTGCCAAGGTGGAGGTGAGAGGTGTAGATTCTGGACAGGGCAAGGTAAGGGCAGCAACAGGCAAGGGTTAGGGCTGCAAGAGCCTCAGGTCCTTGGTCCTGAGGAATTAGGTAGTTGTCAAGACAGGGGTGAAGTTACACATCAACTGGTGGGTAAAGGTGGTGCCAGTTTCCATGGGGGATGTGACTACCCAGATGCAGGTATGTGTGGGGGTCTGTTAGCCTGAATCCTTATCTCACCCCAGAGTCCATGTGTTCCTCTTGTAAAACAAATACGTGACAGAAACCAGTTGATGCTGGGACAGTTACCCAAAATTATTTACGGGCTTTCTGGCAACATTAGGGACTCCTTTGTAAAACAGATGGTGACCAGAGGTAGGCAAATATCCAAAGGTGCTTTGTGGGCTGCTTCTTTAGGCACTGTGGACACCCTCACACCTACCAACCAGAGCGTGGAATTAACACACAGTTTCAAAGGCTTTCTTTCCAAGGCAGTGGGAAAAATAAATAGAATTACAATACATAGAATTCCCTCCTCCTGTGCTACCATGTGTTTCTTGTGATGTTCTGAACACCTGGCACTATCATCAGATCAGGCTCAGGACAGCTGAGTCA